TTCACGAAGAATGATAGGAACATTAATGAAATCAGCCCTCGAAGAATCAAAGAATGACGATATAACATTCTGAAAATTTATTATAAAAATGTGTATGCAAATATATATTTTAAAGAAGAGGATTTGCAATAGTTTTACCTACCTCATAAGCATACAGTAAAATGACACAAGTACAATACTGTACGCAAACGCGTAATCCATTAACTCTGTCACAGGAAAGTCCCTTGTATGAAACACGGACGACCATATCCAACCGTTAATGCACACCTTAGGTATCCAAGTTTTAGGATAATTGAATTTGTTTATATATACATATAAATTAAATCAGCACTTACAAATGAAAAAATGTGCCACAACTTATAACACGGACTATCCGCGCGAACTTCAGTTCGAAATCGGCGGAGCGCTCGAACGTGCGCAATTAAATTGCATATGGAGAAGAACACCGAAGCAGGCTCTTGCATACCGAGAAAACGAACAAATGGCCACTAAATCATAAAAAAAAGTTTATAATTTTATTATGAAGTTAATTCATAAAAAAGAAAGGAATTATTACCTTTCCATAGAACTGTGGAACATCCCAACCACGTTCTGCAAAGGCGTCTACTGTGCGCCACATACAACCATACTGACATTCGTCTGCACAATTCCAAGCAAATGCCTTATCAAATACAGACTGCTGATAATATTTTATAGCCTGTTCCTGAATTTCGACCCCATCTACATATATAAAATATGGAATTCTATGTATTTTTGTTAAATTTTTCCACTAAACTGAGACAGTTCACTGTCGTACTCTTAATGCTTGGTGTATTTACACACCATAATATTTGCTTACCAGCACTACAATTTTGTCGCTCACAGTTTTGTCGACAATTATGGAAGAATTGTGTGCGATCTCCAATAGACGCATGACAATTTACTACGAAACAAATAAGTAGTAAAATATAAAGTATATTAGGGTAGACTGAATCATACATTATTCTAAAATGTTTAACAACAGATATTTATAAACTTTCACCACCATATATCAAACATTTTTCGTATCTCTCTCCACATGCATTGCCTTATCGATTTTAGGGTAGTTGGAGCTGTGTGGGGTCAATAAGCAGTGTTGCATAAAATGTTGATAAAGCATATTGCATTTGTTTGTATTTGTAATACCATAACAAATTTAAATACTATCAGACGTAAGGTACCCATATATTTTATATATATATTCCAATATTTATATTATAGCGAAAAATAAATAAGTGATAATAACTAGAAAATAAACGTTTTATGAAGAATCCGAATGATACACTACTGTACTATACGGTACAAATGTAAAATTTTTTATCATCTGATTTTTGTTTTGATTACAACAATCAGCTGTTAACAGAAGTTGAGGAAGAAAACAAAACAAAAATAAATAAGTAAGCACAAATCGTCGCCAATACATGTGATTAAGGAAAATGAATAAAATTTTTGTAAGTTGATTCACTTAAGGAAATAAATACAATAACTGCTTCATTATTTGTTAGGGGACTACCTGGAAAGGAATAACTCCCGCCAGCAAATATATACAAGTTACACACCTTCGCCATTCCTCTTTCCATCGCAGTTTTTCTAAGATATCAACAAAACCTCTTCATAGGCAACATTACTTGGGCATTAGTTTATTAGGAGTTATAACCGGTTTTATTACCTATGATGGAATTGTTAATGAATTCATTTACTGTGGAGCTACAATACGTTTCCTACGCTCTCTTAAGACAGCTTCTTTAATTGCAATGGATTATTATATGCTCCCAAAAAATGGAAGTTGTTCTGACTATGATTTTCTTCTTAAACAAGTACATTTGAAAAGCGCTAAACGTTTGCTTGAGACGTGCTTATTAAATGGAGGTCTATACATTAAAATGGGTCAAGGGGTTGCTGCTATTAATCATATATTACCAAAAGAGTATACGAATACATTGGAGAAATTACAAGATAAATGTTTACCTACAACAAAAACTGATATACAACGTGTTTTTTATGAAGACTTCGGATCGACGCCTGAAGAAATTTACTCTGACTTTGATTACACTCCAATTGCTGCAGCGAGTCTGGCACAAGTTTTCAAAGCTAAATTAAAAACTGGTGAAGATGTCGCAGTAAAGGTTTATATTATTTTTTAATTTTAGCTGCACTAGTAATACAAATTATCTACTTATGGACCTAGGTGCAATATGGTGACTTGCAGAGGCGATTTACCAGTGACTTGGGAACAATTATGTTTCTGCAGGATGTCATAGAAATATTCTTTAAAAATTACAATTTCGGTTGGATATTACGCGACTTACGAAAAAACTTAACACTAGAACTAAATTTTGAGAATGAAGGACAAAACGCTGAACGTTGCGCTAAAGATCTAAAGATATTTGAATATGTGCATGTTCCACATATTTACTGGACTTACACAAAACCGGTAATTACCAATAAATTATCGGACAATCCTGTTGTTAGCTCGACAAAAATTCTGCAAAAATATTATACATATTATTATATTGATTAATATTACTTTCATATAGCGTATCCTTACGATGGAATGGGTTAATGGATTCAAAGTGAACGACGTTGAACGCATTCAATGCGAAAATCTTGATCTAAAAGATGTAGACTTAAAACTTTTCAACATGTTCGCGGAGCAAATATTCCACACAGGTTTTGTTCATGCCGACCCGCATCCGGGAAACGGTAAATATGGTTTGATCGAATTTTGCGATGTTAACCTGTTTAATACTTACTGTTTCTGCTGTCAATATGAATAAAAGATACGTTTTCTATTTTATTATAGTATATGTACGAAAAAATCCTAAAACAGGAAAAGCCGATTTAGTTCTTCTAGATCATGGATTATACGAATACTTACCCGAATCAGTACGCAAGCCTCTTTGTGAGTTTTGGGAAGCAGCGGTATTAAGAGATGAACAAAAAATGAAATTAGCCGCACGACAAATAGGCATAAAGGATCATATGAAATTTGCGGAAGTGCTTTTTCAGCAACCCATTCGTATACACGGTGGACGTATTAAGACGAAATTGAGCGAAAGTGACATCGAGTATATTCAACAGGTTGCTACAAAAAATTTTGAGCTAATCATGGGCACACTTAAAGAAATGCCCCGAAATATGCTTTTTGTAGTGCGGTAAGTAAAATCGAAATAAATATTTCATATATCAATTATCACTTCATGTACATATGCATATACCATATTATTTTACTTTTGAAAGAAATTTAAATACCATACGGGCCATTAGTCGACAGCATGGTGATGTAGTAGATAGACCACGTACGATGGCACGATATGCACAACATTGCATTTACGTCAAATACAGTTCAATTCTAAGCTGCTTATTCTGGCTTTACAGACGTTTAATTTTCGAATATAACTTGTGGTATTAATAACAATCACTATTTTCTATTTAAAAAATATTCAGTAATTGAAATATATTTTTAGGGCCTCGTCATTTCGTATATCGTGCTATGATTTGTACATAAATACTTTGTATAAACTTAATCGAGCACCAAGCTCCGCACGGACGCTACTAGATGATATAAAAAAACATAATATTTTATGATTTTTTTAAACGTAACACTTTGTGAGCAAATAACTTGTGAAATTGCGTCTAACACGAATAACGATTACATGCTCCATAATCATTGATTGGATGTATATAAACACAAATCCTTTTTTTGTAATTTAATGCTTCTTTAGAAGTTGCAATAAGTTAAAAAATAAGTACCAATGAAACTTTGTTATGATCTATAAATAAGCTTCATACAGCTAATTGTTTTGTATATACATTTTCAAAATAAAATCTGTTAACATTTGAGTTTTGCTGACTAATTACATTATGGCACAGTAGGATTTATTTATCTCTTCAACTGGTTTGCGTCCATCCAATTCCATTTGTTTCAACTCTAAAAACGTATTCTCGTTTTTCTTAGTCAACCACTCTGGTAAAGGTTTTGACCAGTCTTCCGGAGGATTATCACGTTTTTTCCATGTATTATTACCGTAATACGCATCCATTCGTTTTTGTCGTCGCTCCGCTTCACTACGAACTACTGCTTCTCCAGATGACAAATCGTTTCCATTGGAATTTACGTAACGCTCACAATTATCGTAATCTTTCTTCCACTGAGAACAATCAACACTTTCGCCATAAATAAAATACTGATGGAAACGTGCTTTTATACTTGTGCAATCGTCGTATTCGTCTTTATACACAGAACATGGTCGGATCTGAATTAAAACTTAATTTTGAAATTTTAACAAGGTCAAATAATTTATACTTACAGACCAAGAGTCTTTCAGAATTGTGACAGGGTTTTCGGAAGTATTTTGTGATAGATCGTCAGCACCTTTCGACATATTTTTAATGATATTCAGAAAATTATTAATAAAGGGTTGAAAATATTTAAAGAAAAACAAAATCAGCTGCTTTATAATAAAATATTCTTCTTCTTTCTACAGAAATTCAAACTACAATGAATAAACACAGTAGGACAAAATAATATTAACCTATGCTAAAATATTTAATATCTTGAATAATATTAAAGGTATTTCATACAATATAAATTGTTTTATTTATTTTAGTGAAATATATAATTAAAAAAATATCAAGCACCCTTAACAGGGATGCATTTTTATTAATCTATGCTCTTAATACATCATTCGCCTGTTCTTTTAATGCCGCACAATTAAAGAGAATGTGTTGCACTTTAAAACATTAGCGCAAAAATGAGGAAGCACTCCGACATTTGCCTTATAGTGGGTTTTAAATTATAACCAATCATTAACAAAAATAAAAAAATCACATTCGGTACGGGTTGTCTTCGAATATTCAAAATATTATTAAATGTTCCCAATTTAACAAACATATTTATAGATTATTTGTGAACAGTTTGAAAATATGATTTCATGCAACCGTGTAATATCAAAAGTGAATCCAAATTTTTTAACTGAAAAACAGCTGATTATAGTATTAATTGTAGGATTATAGGATGATAGCAGGATATGTTCACGTTGCATTATTAAGTTATAATGCTTAAAAATGCACAAATTTTACTGTCAAATACAAAGCTTGTGTGTTGCTCCTGTAAGCAGTTGTCGTAAGTATAAATAATTCATACATAAAATCAACAATCATCGAAATTACATATTATATAACGTAGAATGCAAATAGGGGAAAAAAAACAAATGGAAGAAATAACTATAATTTATTTCTTTTTTAGTTGCACGGCTGCTGGAGGTATCCTAAATTATGCACAAAGAGCTTTTTTCACTTTCAGTGATCTGACGAATAAAAATCGGGAATATGTTAAAAAAGAATTAATAGGGTAGGCATAAGGGCACATATTGGGGTGTCCGCAGAGTGGACGCTTAAAGTCGAGGACTGCGCATTTCCCCATTTACGCTCGGCTCAGCTTTGAGCACCCATTCTGGGGCACCATTACTTACTTAAGTTGATATCTTGCCCATTTGCAGCTATTCAATGCATGAAATGTACGCTGTTGTTTCTGACGTTTCCAATTACTATAAATTTGTACCATATGTCAAAAAATCCCTTGTACATAGTCAAAGAAATGGCGGTTTCAAAGCTGATCTTATAGTTGGTTTTCCACCACTTAGCGAGCGGTATACGTCGAATGTTTCGCTTAGTGCTCCTAATCTGGTTAAATCAGTATGTCATGATGGCAGATTATTCAACTTTTTATTAAACGATTGGCGATTTAGTCCCGGCCTTAAGGATATTCCTCAATCATGTGTTGTTGATTTTAAAGTAGCTTTTGAATTTAAATCCCGGATTCACAGTAATATTGCGAATATATTTTTCGATTTAATTTGTGATCAAATGGAGCATGCTTTTGTCGCGGAAGCCAAAAGGAGATATGGACCACCTTCGATTAAATCGCATATTTTATCATGGCGAAGATCCTGACAAATGCTGAGTAAAACAAAATAAATATAAGCTTAATTTTATTCAAGAGTTTTTATGTCATTATTGCATTAATTTTTTTAAAGATTAATGAAAGCAATGTATACATTTGCTACTGTACAATTGTAAGATTAAATAAATAGTGTTTGAACTATCTACCATACATACTTTCTTGTTTATTCATTAAAAGTATTGTGAAACAAATGTAAATTCAAGCAAAATTGAAGAATTGCTATGTCATGTTTTTTAAATTATTATAAGAATGTTTCATACAGATCTATGCTATCTTATTAAAAATATTAATATTAAAAAAAAAAAAATTGTTTATTTTAACATGTAAACTATTAATCTGTTTTGTAGCCCAAGTAGTGCAATATTTTTTGATTCGGAATATTAAATAAGACAATGAGGGAATCGACACGATGTACATCGCTTGCATATGTTTCAAAAAATTTAGGAATTAATATTTACTATCAATCTAGAAAGGTGGAAGTGACAAGGCAGAATATTTGTCGTATAATAAGCAGCATTGATTGTGGAACTAGATAGTAATGAAGAATTTCACGCAGGCGCAAACAAAAGTGTCACCGAATATTAAAATTGTCACACTAACAATTTCCGATTTTTCATAACTGTATTTCCAAATATCAATTTAATTTGTATGATATTTATCAAATGCACATATGTATGTATTGTGTGATGATATTTAACAGTATAACAACTTGTATTTATTTACTTTGCGAATCTTGCAACCATATAAACGTAATTGTCTGACTATTCTACAAATTATTATAAAAGTGAAAAATACTTCCCTAAGTATTCAGTTTATACGAATTAATGAATTTAACTAAATGTAGAAATTTTTTCGATAAATGTAATTAACAGCAAGGCAAGACAAAATAATTATGTAATAAATGTAAATAGTATATGTGTTATATGAAAAAATAAGAGAAACGTAAACTTTATAAATTATACCAAAAGTCATTTTATATTGTATAATTTGGCTGAGAAATTTACACTATTTTTAAATAAAATGAAATATTTTTAACATTGATATTTGCAACTAAAATTATTATAATTTTTGAAAAGCGATTTAAAAATTACAAATAATAAAATTAAAGCCTATGCATAATTTGTTAATAAAATTAAGTAAATAAAAGAAAACTTAATTTCGATTAAATTTAATATCACTCGGAGTTTCAGTTTCGCACTGGATTAAACGTTTTTTTGTGCCGCATACGTCTATTACGCCATCAGTTATGTTTAGCGCGTTTGCCAAACATGTAACCTTTCCACCGCTCTGCCGTTTCCATTAAAATGGGATCACTGTCTATTGTAGACAATAACAGTAATTGACTTACATGCGTTGCATGATAATCGTCTCGGGCCAAGTTTGGTGCGGTTCCTATTAAATTTTTTTTGTAAATCAGCGATAGATTTTTTTTTATTTAAATATTGGAAAACTACCTAAACTTAAATGCCGCAAATCATAACTGGTGCCAGATCCCGTATCGTAAAGCAGTAACATTTTCTTTAATGACAACATCCCTTGATTGAAAAGCTGACCAGCTTCACGTCCAATACTTGCAGGTGCGGTCATATTTAAATCATATAATCCCAGTAGGGAATAAATGAAACCATTTAGTACAAATGAAGGAGGGGTTGTTGGATATTCCTCGTACCTATTTAATATAAAATATAATTATACACATAAATATTTCATATTTAACAACAGAATTTTGATAAATAAAAAAAATTTCACATTTAGCACTCCTCATCACTAATATGTTCTTTTTACTTACCAATAATGCTTGTCCATAAACTGCGCTAATACTCCGCCTTCACTTGAGTAAACTCTGAAAGGTTTGAGCCCTAGTGCCGCTGATTTCAAATACCTCTTAACACCACCGGAATGATAGTATGCTCTGGCTAACACAGAAATCGCATGCCCTTGGCCCATAGCTGAAAGCCAGCCAGCTCGAAGTTCGGGAAAACCGTTTAAGCTACGTTTTACCGGATTAGGCCAACCACCGCTTTTTAAATCCTGATTATGTATAAACCATTCTGCAGCATCGTAAAAATGTGCCATATGATCGTATGTTGAAAGCGTAATATTGTCAAAGAAACCAACGCCGAGAAACGCAAGCGACGTTACACGCAATTCATTGCGGCGTATCTTAGATTGTAGTTTCTTTTCAATACCGTTTACTAAACCTTTCTGTACGTCAACTGAGAGGTCTCGCGTTATATGGCGCCATCTATTTATAGCACTAGTACCCATGCCATAGTATATGTTATGCTCCTGAGTACTTAGTCGCAAATCGGCGGGTATGTAGTGCAATGTGTAATTTTGTTTAGTTTCACGAGATTGCAGAGTAACCATAAGACTACTGCTATTAGTGACCAATAACAGATCAACGCTTAGTACTAGTTCAAATGTTTCATTAACATTCGTGTGCACTGCGCTGTCATAGCCAATTGCTGTTTCGTATTGGATTACAGATGTGTTAAATTTTGGATGCCAAATGCGTGAAATATTGCTAGATTTTGGCGTTTGCCACACTCTCTTATAAGTATCGGCATCTTCAAGCACCTTGGAATATGTTATAGTAATATTTATAAAAATATATATGCATATACACATTTAATATAAAGGATAAAATACCTTAATTTTTGGTGGTGGTTCAGCTAAATGTTTACTATAATGGGCCAAAGCGAACTGTGCAATTTGGGTAGGATAAAAGTATCCACTTTTCTCCCACTGCGTACTTATTGGCACACCTTCGGCTGCACTTATACATTTTACACGATCTCGCACCTATTAACATAAAGGTATACATATATATTCGAAATAAATACGAAACAATTAAAATAATAAATTTTGTTGATAAACTTACCTCCACATTGTAGTTTTCAAAGTAGGCGAAGCGTCCACGGGTGTCGTACTTCCCTTTGGGCACATTTACTTTTGCGTTACTATGTGACCATGCAAACCGGGGTACCACACTATCACCTCTGTTGTTGCTATTATCATTTAGACTACTACTTGTGGTTGATACCATTGCACCATTTATGTCAAAATAGTTCCGCAAAAATGAAAATGGCACGTATACTTCATGGTTTTCTGTGCTCTGCTTGCACGGTATCGAATACTCTTGATTAATCCAGCATTCAATGTTCTCAAGAGGGGCGGAAATAGAGTTTAACCCATTGCCTATTATGTTTGAATCATAACCGTCCCGAATACTTAGTCGGCGATCCCAACTGTGCACCAAATTATGAGGGAATAAGAAATCCGCAAAAAAATAATATAATACTACGCCGGTAAGTACTACAAATGCGATGAGTGCGAATAGGAAACTCTTTAAGTTTAAACGCATTATGATGAGGAAAATTAGTGGTTCACGCTGAAAATATTTCATTTCATTTACTAATTTAATAAAAATTGTGAATATACTAGCAACTATTTAAGCAACAATAGGAACTCAAATACAACAATAAAATACAATATGACAGCCGGTTCTGCGTTACCGTGCTGTTATTTGGCGATATAACCCTGCTTGGAACTGTACGTTAAGTTTTTACAACAACCTAACAACAGTGTTGCTCCGCATCATCTAGACTCGTGCTGGCATTGAGTACCAGCCCGCCCCGAAGACATTTTGTGCTGCATCTGCGGCAGAAGGCTCTATCCCAACTCCACCACAGCTAGGTGCAACACATGTATTGGATGGAGCCATCTTAAGACCTGCTCAGGGCTTAAGACACAAAGGAAGTGGACTACACGCTATGTAATCTGCAATCAGTATATTAGATATAGCTACCCGGTCAGGCGATGTCGAGCTCGAAGTACTTATTGTATACTTACTTCCTGATAAATGTTATCTACGGGATATCACCCGAAAATAGGTGCGCTACTTCGTGGTAAAAACCATTTGGTGCTTTTCAATAGCCATGCTTCCAGTTCACAATACGCCCTCGACCCACAAAGCCAAACGATTTGTTAACAAATGGCTGCGCTAAATGTTAAGAGTCTGCATTGGCCCAGATGGAATAAACATGCTAATGCTAAAACACCTAGGCTCAACAGGAGTTAGTTTCCTAACCAAGGTCCTCGACTTGACGTTCCCACGACAGTGGGGACTACGTAACCGGAACGGACCCGGATTTTTTTCCAGCCAAGAACTGTCAACTCGGCAGAATTCTGCAGCTACAACAGCAATAGCAACTTGACGCTGATCAATTTTCAAACATCAGATGTGTGGAAAACCGAAATAGTGGTCCCACTAGCGAAACCTGAGAAACACAATGGGAAGTCTTAACTCGTCTGCTTAATGCGGAGACGCCTCCTAGGAACATCAAGACGTCTTTCCCCGATAACTGCTTTGATTCTGATGTGATCAGATCAAACTTCGGACGCAACTCACTTCAAACACGTGCTGACTGCCATTTACAGTGGAGCCACCGATTACTTCTCAGAGAATAGTGCACTTGAAATTAAGCGATCACCCATTGCAGACAACGAGCTCGTGCTGCTGCGGGAACCAAGAGAGATCGTCAGGCAACTTCGTTCTGGATAGTGTTGCAGATTAAATCCCTACTTTCCAGAATCGTCCTCGACATATGAAATATACATATATCTTTGTATGACCAGCAAACCCTACTCACTTAATACCAATCTTCACATGAGCCGACCCAGTCGAAACAGCACTTTGAATGTTACATGTCCTCGTTGACAACTAACATGAATCTTTCCACCCAAGTGACGATAATATATCCGTTACAACAACATTAAATGGGACAACATTATTTTGATTTTGGTTTGGACGTTTCAATATTTTTGAATAGTTGATTTCTTAAGGCTTACCTGATTGAAGGTCGCTGTGGCGGTAGCGCCTTTTGCTGAGATTCCAACTTTTGTGTGGTTTTTAAACATTGGATTCTATGCCGCACTTTCGCGACTAATTTTATAATCCTATGGTTTACACTCGTTTAATATCTTTCACAAGAATAACCATTCTTTATTTTCACTATTAATATTTATATATTTATTTTACTATCAAGTAAACAGGAAATTTTTGTGATTGATTTTCTACCATGTAGCAAACATGTCCCAGAATTTCTAAGTAATTTGCGGGACATAATCATTCGATTGTATACCAAGAAGTCTCCGTTTTCTTTTCTTTTATTTGCTTCTTAATCAAATTTTTATTGAACTATTTTAGTTTTGATATTAATTTCTTTATTAGTTCCTCACTTTATTCCATATGCTTTTGACAGGTAGTTTTTCATAAACATATTCATCATAGGATTGCCAACGCTCTAAATCAATTTCTTTTTGCGCTAGTAGCAGTAATGATATTGCGGCGAACATCGATACAAATATCCTGAATTAACTAGACAGCGAAACTCGTAGTTCCCAGAAAGTTAGAGTTACGAAGTTTTTTTAACTATCCGGATTATGCTGCAGACACACTTCTACAGCAGGCGAAATCGACTGCGGCCACTACGACTGAATCGAGCACCACCAAAGCTGCCCCAGCAGACGAGCTGCTCTGATTCGGACGAGTCGTGTCGGGAGGTTACCGAAAGTGTTCGTAAAAAGAAGAAGAATATGAAAAGGGGGCCAATTGCCCCGTATGCCATCAGCCGTCAATACCGGAGGGTACGAAGATCCTCGCAGGCTGACATACCCAACGTATGTCCTGCATGCAACGAGTCTCCGCATGACACTGACCACCTCTTTGCATGCCCCACAAACCCCACCCATCTAACACCCTCTTTCCTCTGGTCCGACCCCGTCGAAACAGCACGTTTCCTGAGCCTCCCGTTAGATGACATCGAAGACAACACAGATAACTATCACCATCCCAACGGGGACTGATAACCGTTAAAACAACAACAAAAACAACAAGATCCTCGCAGGTCGTTTCCACGACAGTCGGGTTTACGTAACCGGAACGGACCCGGATTTTAATCCGGCCAAGGACTGTCAATCCGGCAGAATTCTGCCGCTACAACAACAACAACAACAGCATCCTCGCAAGAGGATTTAAGCACTTTTACAAAAGGGAGAGACGTTCTACTGCCACATCTTGTTCCTCTGATGAGAGATAGTTTTGCAATGGCGTATATCCCTAGGAGGACCGCAAAACTGATCTTTTTACACAAGGTAGTAAGGAAGACTATTCACTGGTAAAAGCCTTCAGGCCAATTAGACTAACTTCCATCGTCCTTTTATAAATGTTTCGAAGTACCCTTTTTTTTCCTTTTGCAACATTTTTTTTTACAGAGTAGTTTTTTTATTCACCTTACGGTTACTTTTTTTATTTTTTTTTATCACCTAAAACTAATCGAGATATGTATATATGGAGTTCTATATATATATAAATGATCAGGATGATGAGATAAGTTGAATTCCGCGTGACTGTCTGTCCGCCCCGTACAAGCGATAACTTTAGTAAAAAAAAATTGCGACACCTTAATTAAAGTTATAGCGTTATTTGGGAGTTGAAAAAGGGGCGTGGCCACACCTTCTGATGGGTTAAATGTACATACATACGTATAACTTTAACCACTAAAGCTACAATAATAAAATGTTGTTGTTGTTGTAGCGGCCGAATTCTGCCGAGTTGACAGTCCTTGGCCGGATAAAAATCCGGATCCGTTCCGGTTACATAGATCCGACTGTCGTTTGAACGGTAATAAAATGTCAGCCTTTCTACTAGATATATTATTAAAATTCGGACATATGTATATTGGCCAGTGTGGGAGTTATTTTGATTACATACCTGAAATGCAGCATTTACGCGAAGTTTTCTCCCTTGTTTTAATTCTTATAAAAATATTAATATCAAGGAGGATAATGTATAAAATTTAATTCCAAAATATTAAGGGGGATGAATTGCATCAACAGTAAATCTTGATACCAATAAAAAAAAAACTTGCATACATAGTAAATGCTTATGTATATAAGATAAACCTATATAGTATATTAATTATCATTTATGAATTATTATTATTATTTTCATTTATGAATTATGCATGTAAAAAAATTACATGACATCAATTCGCTGATGTAATTCAATACATTTCAATGAATGGATTCACAGGTGCGACTGTATGTTTGGTGTTTCCTGTTATTGGTTTACACACAAGAAATATAATTAAACAGCTTATATATATGTACATCATTTGTGTTTTTTATAAATAATTTATTGAAATTATTAAATTTAAGATCATTAAATTTGTTTTAAAGCATAAATATATATTAAACGATTCTAACCACATGTTATGTTAAAATTAAATTAAATTTAGATTTGTGGCATTTCAACAAAATAAAATAATAATAACTGCATATTTCTAGATCCGTTTTCGCACGACACTAAGCTGCATTCAAATCGCAACTCTATATTTTAAGCTAATTATCTTTTGTATTAATTGGTACATAAGATGACTATTACAAAAACTACTGTTTATACGCACCCACACACATTTGATGTATAGATTGCAATGCGTTTTTATTTTAATATTTATTATGCTGTGCCAGCAATTGCATGTCCGTAAGATATTTGATAATATGCACCTTAGCTTCGGCCTTTTGTCGAACACCCAAAGTGTTAAGCATGTCTGTGACAACCATCCCAAACGATTGATCCTCAGCGCTAACCGCTTGCGACATCGAATTTTGAAAAATTTTAATCGTGTTTAACATATTATCGTGATTATCATCTTCGGCACGTTCGCGCTTCAGAGGCGGTTCATAAAAGTATGGTTTCTGATCTTTACCAGTTGTGGCCAACTGCGTGTCGCCTGTAACTGCAATTTCTAAACGTGAACTTAAGTGTATAGTGTTGTGTAAAACAATATTCCAATTCAAAATACAATAATACTTTAAGGCAACTTAAAGAATATTTTGGTTTAAAGTAAACCAAATGTCCACTTCTTATTAGAAAATTAATTAGAAATAAAAAAGAAACGCAGTTTATATAAGTAAATAAGTTCAACTTACCATGCGGATGTGCGATTGCCTGTGCCGAAGTTGTGGCACTACTATTAAAGGGTTGTGCAAATATATCAACAACAGCTTGTTGCTGCGGTTGTTGTTGCTGCTGATTCGGATCAACTTGAGCTACTTGATTTGTATTCTGTTGTACAGTATTACATTTACCTAAAAGAGATTCACGATATTGTCTGCAAAATAAAGGATCATTGAAATTATTTTTACCATTAAAAATTAAAAAATAACATTTACCTTATGGAATCCACTAGAAATTGCATTTGTTTGAAATAACGCCAACGAGATTCCTGGCACAATTTCATTTCACGTGCAAATTTATCCCGCAAACTCTTCCAACGTTTCGTACATTTTTGTTCTTAAAGAAAATAAATACATATTGTATAAATTTCTCATATGAATATGGACATGTCATTAATTGCAAGAGAATAATTTTATAAGTAACACCATTAGAAAAACTGACTCCTGATTTGCTCAATGAAATAATGCTATGTAAACAAACGGCTATGTAAAAATGTTACAATTGGAGAATATGGCGTCGCTGCAAAACGGAAAACAGCGACTGAACCAGAGAACGTAAAAAGCAGCGCGAATTGAATCCGACAGCCAAGGCAAATGAGTAAAATCGACACGAGATAAGGCAAAACGTTGGGAATACAAACAATGTACACAAAATTGTTGCTGCCACTGTCTGGCTTTGCAGTGCTGCTGCTTTGTAGCTTGCGACTCTTACTTTGCATTGCCTTATTGACGTTGGCAAGCGTCGCTACACAAATGCTGCACCAGAGAACGTAAAGTATACTTTACATTCTCTGGCGTACTATCGCAACATATTATACATTATATAGCTATCTCCTTCACACAAAGGCTGTTATAATAAAATACGCGTCACACTCGAAGCATAGCAAACAACGAAGCTACAAAGTACAGCAAACGCAAGCAGTCAGCAACGACGACATCGACATCTTCGAAATGGTTGGAAACCGCCAACGTTAACGAAAGTCGAGGTGCGATGGAAACCAAATACACAATAGCAACGAAAACGAGTCTGCTGCAGTTGTCTCCGCCTGCGTCTCTGTCGTTAATAACTGACAAAAAAAAAAAAAAAAAAATATGTTCAAAGTAAAAAGGCTTAGTGCCCGTTGGCCACCCAGCCCATGTGCAATATGTTGTTCTATTTTAATTTTAATACTGGCACTGTTAATATATTGTAATGCAACACGGTGAAATATTATATTAGATAGGTTTCGCTGCAACGTTCCCCATTTTACTTGGTTTTTATACAATTACGTTTGGAAAAAACTCTATCAGCTGAGAATATAAACTCAAAAATAGTAGGGTATATTTTCGTCGGTTTTAATTTTCTTGTAATAGTATTTTTCATATTTATGACTTCGAGGTTGACCAATATGATAGATCATTAGATATACATACACATGTGTAATGTAGGCTTGTAGATATACAAAATGTACCTAAATGTTACATATCTGCAAGCTACAATGCAGCATACACATACAACTGTTATTAGACTGGAAAAACTTACCAGGCACTCCAAGCGATTCAGCGATTTGCTTCCATGTTTGCGCCTTCCTTACAAAGTGTTTGTAATTGTAGTGGGAACGGTCGTATATGACCGGATTCATTTTGACCGCTTCGATGAGATTCAGATCAAATTGTTGTTCCAAATTAGTATCCAATTTATCCATTTCTTCTATGTTAATTATCGTTCAAATTAATAACTTTCGAGTTTATCGCTTAATTAAACCAGCACGTTTATTTCTCTGCCTCTGCCCACCGAGAAGTCCACTGAACTTCGTCAACGAATTTTTCTCTTGGATTTCGTACAAAGATCTCTAAAATTATCGCAGTCAACAGTCGCTGCATGCAGTGAAATTTTTTCCAATTGAAGCAGAGCTACTTTTTTTTATTCTAGGTAGTAGACATTTGCTATTTGTGTAACCATATGACACTCCAAACTGCGAAGCTACGCCAATGCGAAGCAAACGACTTCCAACGACGACTGCGGACAGAGGTAGACGATGCCGATGACGATGGCCGGAAAGGCAGCGAAAACTTCAGCCTAGCAATCCGTCGCAGCGCTGTCGTAGTGATGCCATATAATCGATTTCAACAAAGAATATCCATTCTCTGGCACATATATATATGTCCTTATATAACAATCTTCTGCAAATCTAATAAAATAGCTTACGATCTAATAAAATCATCACATTTTTTTAATATAATGTCAATATCCCGAATTCTTGCCACATCAATACTTCGATAACATTAATCAGCATTTTTTTCATGGTTGGTAACGCAACATTTGAGTTTTAATTCTGTTTCTCTAGTTATGTTTTTGTATTGGATTTTATTTAGAAAGTTTTGTTATTCACTCATTTCTTAAGTGAAAACGATGATTTATGTATTTAAAGCTCGAAACCTATTAGAAATTTGTTAATACAGTAAGTGCTTCATTTCAAACTAAAAAAAACAACTTTGCAGATGAGTTCTAAACAGATATGTAACATCCTTTTCTTATAAATAAATTTTGATCAGATATACGTAGGTAGTTTATAATTAAATTAAATTAATAGCTATTAATAATGGTTCTCACAACAAATTCGAAATGAACCAGGAAATACTGTTTCTCCTGAAACCGGTACATCTAGCATCGGGCGTTGAACAGGTTGCATTTCTGCGAAACCTTTATACATACGAGGTGTGTTCAAAAAGTATCGCGAATTTTTTGTTTTTTCAAAAATTATTTATTTATTCATGAATATCTATTTTGTCCCCTTCAAAGTAATCCCCATGAGATATTATACACTTGTGCCAACGGTTTTTCCAATCTTCGAAGCACTTCAAAAAATTATTATTTTTTATCTTCTTCAGCTCCTCCTTCGATGCCGTCTTTATCTCGTCAAGGGAAGCGTAACGTCGTCCTTTCATTGGCCTCTTCAGTTTAGGGAACAAGAAAAAGTCACAGGGGGCCAGATCTGGGGAATACGGTGGCTGCGGCATCATTAGTGTGTTGTTTTTGGCCAAAAAGTCGCGCACAAGCAACGATGTGTGAGCAGGGGCGTTATCGTGGTACAAAAGCCAATTTTTGTCACATCTCAGCCTTCTGAGAACATTTTGTACCACCGATAACCGTTGCTTCGGTCTAAGGTAGCTTCTCCGTATGCCACAGTCAACATTCGGAATGCATCCGCGCACTTAATTTAGTTTTTCATACAAAATTTGATACAGGTTCTTTGATCCATTTTTTTGAATAGGTAAAAATCGAAGACGATCCAAAACACATGCAAGCAAAGCAGCAGTCAACAATTAAATGAACATTCATCTTCTCGATGAATGCACTAGGTTTAGTGCAACTAGAAACGCACTATTTGATGACCAACCCATTTCAAATACGCTCAAGGCTTTTTCTGAAGAAAACATCCACAAGGTAGCCCAATTTTTGTACAAAACTGGCCTTAGAAAGTTAATTTAATTCCCTAATTGTAAGTTATCTTAGATCCAAATAACTTCTTTATTAACATCAATTACTTTAATAATTGTACTGACAGTAATATTGATCTCATATTTAGCTTTTACTGGCTCATACATTAATATTCTAAGACAATACAGTTTTATTAGAGCAGTAAGAAAATAATTGCATTATTATTTTTCATTTAATAAATAAATAAATGAACATTCAAAATGGCCGAGCTTGTCGGCATAAGTGAGAGACATGAGTACCAACATAACGCCGCAAAAAAAAATCGAAATTCGAATATACGTAACCCGCGAAAATTCAAAATTCGCGATAATTTTAGAATACACCTCGTACATATTATTTTTTGGCTTGCCTCAATTATTTCGTTACGACAGCTACAGTTACTAGAAATAACGATTATATTTGTACCATGTAATAATACACATATAATTTTTTTTAGACATATCGCTTCACATTCTACATAAGACTGAACCAACTTTAATTCAACTGTTGGGAAATTTAATAAAATACTAATTTTCATATAATAAATAAATTAATATATGCCCATATATACATTTGTTTTAGATTGCTTGCATATGTCTGTATTCGTTTGTATTTTATATCTCCAAATTTCAGGTTATCTGCCACAAAGTCGAGTTTATAATAAATGAAGAAATTGTTTAAATAAGAAAAAGATTATAATCCAGGTTAAAAGGTTTACACATAAATGCAAACGCATGCCTCAGAAAGTAAAGGAAGAAGAGTAGAGTATAGACATTTGTAGTTATAAAAAAAAAATAACAACTCATGTTGAATATTTACTTACTTGTTCATAAATTAAAGATACAAAGCACATAAGTTTTTGTAGAGGTAAATTTTGTTTTGACAACGGCATTTATTTTTAGAACTTGTTCATAAATTAAAGATACAAAGCACATAAGTTTTTGTAAAAGTAAATTTTGTTTTGACAACGGCATTTCTTTTTAGAACTTGTTTGTAAAATGGATGGTGTGAAAAAAATTTTGCTTATTAGCGGAAAAAGAAAGTCGGGAAAAGATTACATTTCGAGTACATTGCAAAATATCCTTGGCGACAGATGTCAAATCGTACACATTTCAGAGCCTATAAAAGTGGAATGGGCAAAACGTCTTAATTTGAACTTAAGTGAGTTGCTGAGCGATGGTCCGTATAAGGAAAAATATCGTAAAGATATGATAGAATGGAGCGACTCCGTGCGCGTAACGGATTATGGGTACTTCTGTCGATCTGCAATGCTCCATGTGCATGCCGAATTTGTAATTGTTAGCGACGTAAGACGAAAGACAGATATTAAATACTTCCACGAAAATTACGGTTCGCTTGTGCTTACAATACGGATTAATACGAAAGACACAATACGCATTGAGCGAGGTTGGGTTTTCACCAATGGTGTCGACGATGTGCCCTCCGAATGCGATTTGGACGACTATAATCAATGGGACTTGGTGTTGCAGAATAATTGTATATCGGACGGAGAATCAAGCATTGAAATATTAAAAGATAAACTTAAACTTTACGAATAAATGTCAAGATTGTCTATATTTGTGAAATACATTATTCGTCATACACACTTACACTTATATCCTTATTACTTATATTACTAACAAGGATACATATATTATTATATGTCGAATTATGAATGTGAATGTAAATTTGATTGTTACGCTGAAACAACATAACCGGTCATCCGCGGAAAAAGCTAGTAAATATGTAATTGCTGTGTACAATCGTTAAGGCATTTGTTTGTTTTAATATTGCAAAAACAAAAGATAAACGAATTTCACAAAATATTATGCAAGGTGATATTATACATATACATATATACACCTATATTTTATAAAAACAGATGCAGGAAATTAAATATGTATATCCTGTTAAAGTTTTAGATTGGCTGCGTTATGGTGTAAAATTTTAAGATTCAGATTGTACATATATCATATGTTTATTATAGAATTATAAGGTATTTGTTAATAAACCGTTTTTTTTTTTTAATTTTGTATGCAAACTTCAAAGTAAGTTAATAAAATGACAACAGAAAAATACACAAGTTTTATGTATAATTATGAAACTCTTTAATTTCTCTTAATAGTTTGTTCCAACGTTTACAAAGTGAAATGGCGTATCACAATTCAAATGTATTGTCTTTAAATATAATATCGGATCACAACAATTAGATTCAGAATACTCGAATTAGATATATATACGGTTACACCATATTAGTATTTCTATAATGAGCAGTAGTTAATATATAAACTATTTTTTTTATTTTATAATGTATCAAATAATTTAAAATCGTAACTGAATAAAATAATTTGCCTTCTAAAACATTACAGATACTCACATACTATTTACGCTGTATTTCATGCATACACCAGTTTTATATTCGGAACAGATTTTTTATCAAGTATATCACAAAAAAAAACCTATTTAAATAATATATATCTATTTAACTTATTTATATTTTATATCGAGACTTTATTGGTCGTATTTAATAATAGCGTTTAATAAAATACAATATCAGCGATAAGGATTATTTATATACATTATACATAGCTTATTTTATAAATATAATAAATTTAATATCTGCATTATTCAAGGTCTTACTCTATACGTATACGGTTTCTGCGACGTAGCCTGAGGAGCTCTTTAATCACTTGACGAGATATTAAAACCATAGCCAATATATCGGCACAAATCAGCATGTTAAACACATTCTCCCAACCGCTTTGTGACACTAAACCGGCAATGAAGGGACCCACAGCAGCTCCTGAGAAATTGTTTTTTAATTTATAATAAATAAAACTATGTAAAACTGTAAATTATGAAAATTTATTCAAACCAATTGATCCGGTGCCATCGATAATTGCGGTTACTGTAGCTAAGGCCTTGGAATTATGCGACAACGATTGATGTTGCCCCAGTTCGGCACTTACAAATGTCGTAATCAAAGCATATGGTCCATTTACCATAAAACCAGCTAGTAAAAGTAATATGATATTGATGACTATCGATAAGCCCCCAAAGTGCACATACATAAATAGCTAAATTAATTGAATTCAGAAGGGTCAACTCATTACACGTTTTTATAATTATTAAATTTGATGTTTACCAATGGCGCCGAACAAATTAACAAAACAAAGCAAGTCGTGGCTGGCATACCAGAATAGTCAGATACTGTTCCTGCTGCAATAGCTCCAAATATTCCGCCAATATCGAAGAGTGTGGAAAGGTCAGCTGCAACACTGGGACTTAATGTAGCTGCAATAGTACGTACACGATAATATATATAAACAACACCATAATTGTATTAATATAACGGCACAACTTACTGGATGACTGTATGTATAATGGAAGCCAATAGAGGAACGTATAACTGACAAGTTTGGCAAAGAATAAACACAAGGAGAACTCCACAACGCCAGGAATCAATAGAGCTTGAAGAATGCCAACTGCATTGCGTTCAGTTTGTGCAACTGCTGGTGATCTGCTACGAGGTAATATCGGAGTACGCTCAGATGCACGATGGTTTATTTCCTATGTCAGACAAATAAGATAGTCAGTCCACAAAAGAAAGAAGATAGTGACGCCACATGTTTTGATAGAAAACGCATTTCAAAGAATCTACCGTTAGCAAATCAAATAATTTTGTAAGTTATTCACACAAAAATAACAAAACTAAATTGTGTAAATATAAAACCAATACTACATACATACATACACTTACAGTATAATCGTCTGTATAGCCATGAAAGCCACGGTTCTGCGAAAAAAAAAACATATCTTTAACTTGGAATAATTTAAAAACAATTAACATCTTAAGTTCAATGTTTTTCTAGCCGCAATGAAAAATACATGCTATTATTTCATACGCTTTTAAATTTGCTTTACTTTTTAAGAAATATATATAAAGTATATTCAAACTCACCGCTTCAAAACTGGCTACATTTGATATCCGTTCGTCATCATCGTAAGCATTGCTATGATTCACTGCCAAATGCGTTCGTGTTGAAGGCAAACCAACGATTTCTGGATCATCAACAATGAATAAAAACATTACGAAGCCCAATGCCGCCATAATGGCGCCAGGCACGGCGAATGATAACATCCAATTACTTTCAACAAAGTGTGCAGCTATCAAAGTACCGAGAATGTTACCAACTGATGTGTGGCTATTCCAAATACCGAATATAAGGCCCCGTTTCGACCTACCAAACCAACGTGCCATCAATGTTACTACGCCTGGCCAACCGGTTGTTTGAACTATGCCACCCAATACCTGAACAAGAACGAAATACCACATATTATGTATATTCCACGATTTGGCTGCACCAAAAAGGAGAGTGAATAGTCCAGAAAATAGCATGCCCAAACTTAAATAATAACGGAGAGATACACGTTCTGCAACTATGCCGGAAAGAAACATCGATATGGCATAGGTGACAAGAAATGCTGAGTCTAATGTGCCAAACAATGTGGATGCATCAGGTACATCTAAAATAAACAAGGTCCAAATATATAGATTTCGTAAACCACTAAACGTTTCATACTAACCAAAAGGTGGATAGCCGCAGTCATTATCTGTGGAATTGCTTGGATTTGTGCAGTTTTCATGCAATACTGATTTTACGACGGATATTGGTTTTCTGGACATATGATAAGCAGCATATGCCAAATAGGTCAGAATGATGGTTGATACCTTAAAGCTTTAGATAAATACGATTTTTTATTTGATAAATATATATTCATACTGAGGAGTAATTTCAGTGACTCACATAAAATCTTTACGCAATTGTAAGCGTGGACAGCATGCCAAACTTAGCTTTTGTACCGCCCAGACACCCAGCGGAATATCGTACATATTGCTATTTTTACCGTAACGATGTTGGAGCATAAAAATTATTTGTTTAAATTTTTCCCGACTTATCTGTAGAAATAGATTAAATTTTAACAAATAAATAATAAGATAACTTCTAAATTAAGCGCCCACATATTTAAATATTCATACAAATATACATAACATTAATTGTGTACCTTGTCACACAGTGGTACACAAACCTACAATGGAAATATGGGAAGGAAACAATAATGATTTGATATTAATAGAATAATATAACACTAAGGCTAATATAGTATAAGCATGTATTTACAGAACAGTGTACTAAACTAAGTGATTTGAACTTGTAGTTATTAAAGAAAAAGAACTCGACGTATGCAATGAATTTGCCTTGTTTGGATCATAATTCAATATTCTTTTGGAACCACTTTGTACAAATATTACCTTAAATAATTCTCACAATATTCCAAAATACCGACATATGCTGCGTTGGCAGATAAATAATTTATAAAAACAAAGGTTTGTGTACATTTTATCATGTGAGATAAAGTACATACATATTTATTACTTCATTCAGCTTAAGTTAACAAGTAATATTTTCCTACCAGTTCTACTATTCACAATTGCTCTTTAGTAAATCGATCTCAATATTCATTTTATTGAATTGAAGACAGAAATCGCCTATCCATCTCTGATTTCAGTCAATATATAAAACAAAGAATTAAAATAAATGAATATTCACTTCTATCCATACACTAATGACAGCTTTGATGACAACAATATTTATTAGCTTAGAAAAAACATTCAAGCTGATACAAAATAATCGCATTGCCAATTCTACACAAAGTCGATAGTCTGAAACAAGAATTAATCGCCAATAATCATGGACAGCATCATCTCAACTCTACCCGATTTCTAAATTAATTACATTGGTCACATTTAGAGGTGAAATTTATATATGTATTTAATAATTCTTAATTAATATTCAGGTGTAATAAATTTACACATCTGGTAGAGTTAAAACGATGCTGCCCACACCGATTCTGTGGCATCTCTGCTACAGCGCTGCGCATCAGACAGCCGAAGTCGAGGTATTCGTCGACTTTTCGGCCATCGTCAATGGCATCGGCTATCTCTGTCCGCAGTAGTTTTTCATGTCACTTGCGTCGCTTCGCAGTTCGGAATTTCAAGTGATTATACAAACATCTACAAAAGAAATTTCTCTGCTTAAATAGAAAAAGAAACAACAAACAAATATATGACGGTTAGCAGCCACTGTCGACTTTGATAGAAAATAAAAATATATATTTTTCTGCGGAATCCAAGTGTGTAAATTATTGGCAGAATTCGGTAGGCGTCTCCGTGGACAGAAGCAGAAAAATAAACGTGCAAGAGCAATTTAGCGGTAACTACAATTGAAAACAAATATTCCGTGAAAATGGAAAAATTGGATGCTAACTTGGAGACTCAATTCGATCTTAATCTTATTGAGGCAGTAAAGCAAAATCCTGTTATATACGACCGGTCACATTACAATTACAAACACTTTGTAAGGAAGGCCCAAACTTGGAAGCAGATTGCAGAACTTCTTGGAGTACCTGGTAAGTATTTACATACTATTTATGAACGTATGCAATTGTGTTGATGTTCTTATAAGAAATATGCATCTTATTTTTATTAATTGTATCAGGGGAAGCAATCTATTGGGAGTTAGATTTACAAAACGAAAATGTAAAACAAAAAATTTCAAGATTTGTATCCAAAAATTATTTTAACAAAATATTTGAGTTCAATCAGAAGGCGCCTTCACTAACAAACATCATACATATTATGTATGTATGTGATTAGAAATGGCTGCTGCTAATGTTCGATTTACGACGAAACAGACGAAGCTGCCGCGTTTCTCCTACGTACGAATGTCGCTGTTGACTACTGCTTGCGTTGCTGTACTTTGTTGCTGAGTGCGTCTGCTGACTTCTTGCGCTGCGGGTTGTACGAACGTTTTAGACAGAATATAAACATCTTTGAGAGTGAATGAAACGGCTATAGGAACAAAGTATTTAAATATGCGAGTTTTGTAAGTTAATGCAGTGCAGTCAGAGAACGTAAAGTATAGAGAAGGTGCAAATCGAATTTTGTATGATTTTTTTTTATGTTCTCTTGCAGAACTGCACTATCACGAGTCTACTCAATTTACAGTCTGCGGCGCTGTCTTTATCAACAGCTTATCCAGAGAACTTAAAACATAGAGAAGGTGCAGGTTCGACTGCGAACATTTGTTAGATTTCGGCTAAGGAATTCGCCGCATTTGTTAACATTGTAGGTCGGCATTCGCCTCACAATTTTAACATTTTTTACAATTCTCTCACATATTATAACAGAGAATATGAAGAGAAATAAATATATGTATTTACGGCATGGCATATATGCAAAAGC